GAAACTATTTTAAGTTGTGTTTTAAGTTCACTGTTGACTAAATGAGAAATAGAAATCACGCTGAGCAAAACTTCAGAGCCACAGTTCTCTCCCTGCAGGATCAGTTACATTGGCAGGAAGTTCCTGGAGGTGTGAGCAGTGACAGGTTCTCCTGGAAATGTAGAGAGCATGGGAGGAAGGCCCCATATATTGGTCTTTGACACACCAATGTCTCTCATTGGCTGGTGACAGCAGGAGTGGAACTGAAATCTTTCAACATCAGGATGAAGATGTTGTACCATAATTTTTAATCTGCATAAACCTTTCAGATATCACATTTAACACAGATAATTGAACTTCAATGTAACATTAATGTGGTTCAGTCAGATTAAGCTCTTTTCTTTCTTTTTTTTTTAAAGTGTAACATTTTAAAATTATGTGTAGCACAGACACAATTATTTTAAGTTAATAAATTTTTATTTAAGGAATTTCACATATTGTAATTCCTTCCACTGCCTTAGTTCCTCCTGAGTTTGAGTCTTAATCTCTTTTAAAAATACTTTTCACTCAACCAACAGTTGTCATGTCAGTCAGTCCATAGTTCTTTTAGTTGGGCTACTTTGATCTCCACTTGAACATGGACATACTTCAAAAATTCCCCACCTAGCCCTAGCTGGTTTGGCTCAATGGGTAGAGCATTGGCTTGCAGACTGAATGTTCCCAGGTTTGCTTCTGGTCAAAGGCATATGTCCGGGTTGTGGGCTTGATCTCCAGTTGGGGGCGTGCAGGAGGCAGCCGATCAATGATTCCCTCTTATCATTGACTAGATGCTCAGTGCACACAACTCGTGCACTAGGGGTGGGGCGGGGTGGGGCGGTCCCTCAGCCCAGCTGGAGCCTGTAGGGGATGTCTGACTGACAGGGAGCGGGCCTAAGCCAGCAGTCGGACATGCTCCCACCACCTCCGCTGCACTGGTCAGCTTTGAGCCCATCTTCTGGATGAGCAGAGCTCCCCCTGTGGGAGCGCACTGACCACCATGGGGCAGCTTCTGGATTGAGCGTCTGCCCCCTGGTGGTCAGTGCTCATCATAGCGACCCATCGTTCCGCTGTTTGGTCAATTTGCATATTAGCCTTTATTATATAGGACTAGAGGCCCAGTGCACAAAGATTCGTGCAAGAATGGGCCTTCCTTCCCCTGGCTGCCAGCACCACCTTTGTTCCGGCCTGGAGCCACCTTTCCGCCTTCCCACGCTGCCCAGAGGCCCGGAGTGGCTCGGGTAGTGCGGAATGCCTGTGTTGTTGCCATGGTGATGACGCAAGCATCCTGCCCCACCCCGGGCTGCTCGGCACCTGCATATGCAAATTAACCCACCATCTTTGTTGGGTTAATTTGCATACTCACTCCTGATTGGCTGGTGGGCGTCACAAAGGTACAGTCAATTTACATCTTTCTCTTTTATTAGTGTAGCTGTTTCTAACTCTCTCCCTCTCCCTTCCTCTCTGCAATCAATAAAAAATATATTTAAAAATAATTCCCCACCTATAATCATTGGGACCAAGCTTCTTCTAGGAATTTAGTTTAGGGCCAGAGTTAGGGTCAGAGTAGATAGAGCTGCCTGGTTTTCAATTTCAGACACCCTCTAAATATCAATAAGTTCATTCCTAAACTATCACACTCTAGAACAGTACAGATCTTTGGGATATGCCAATATCTAAAATGAAAAAAATTTGACTATTGGCCTTTCATAGTTTTAGCAGCAGTCTTTTTTCTTCCCACAGATCTAACAAATAGGTCTGTGAATAAAGGAAACAAAATATTTACTCTATGGTGTGTTTCCAATGATGTAGGTCTACAGAAAATAAGCTCTTTTCAAAATAAAAATTTTAAAAATGGTTAGGAATAAGAAGCACATGAAACTAAAAAGCTACATTTTACCAAACTTTAAAAATAAATTTCTTGCCCTAACTGGCTTGGCTCAGTGGATAGAGTGGCGGTCTAGGGCATGCAGTAGGCAGCCAATCAATGATTCCCTCTCATCATTGATTTTTCTACCTCTCTCTCCCTCTCTGAAATCAAAATATATATTTTTAAAAAATAAATAAAAATAAATCTCTTGAGAATAATATTTTAAGAACATATATAATTAAAATTGAAAAAGTGATGAATTAAATATGTAGGAAAGAATCCATATTCTCAAAATAAAAAAAAACTCATTCATATTTTAAAGTATTTATCTTACAGAAGACCTTAAATTTTGGATGCAGCAGAGAAAATACAGCCTCTTGTAAAACAATTAAGAATTCAAGTTCTCCCAAGGAAATTTTGTATTGATTTGTAACCTGGCCTTGAATTTGCCCTTGGTGTTCATGTCATGATAATTTGGGTCACTCTGAATATGCCATCTCTTGAACAAGGGCCTCTGCTAATTTTAAATGAACCCAGCTGCCAATTTGCATTCTTCTATTTGTACCACCATATGTGGGGATGAATTCACAATTAATAAGACATTTCCAGTAAGTAGTCAGATAGAGGAAATGAAGGACATTTCTAATAAGTTTAAAAGGAGATGTTTCATTTTTGTCTTTTTGGACATAAAAAGGGGAAAGAAAACAGTTATGTCTTTGAGGGCTTTGATAGAGGACATGCCACCTCAAATTAGATTTTAGTTTGAGAGAGAGAGAGAGAGAGAAAAACAGAAATTTAAAAAGAGAATAAATGTAGAAAAGTTAGCACCAGGCCTAAATTATTATTTTTTCTCTCTTTTTTCCTTTTGTACTTTCTGTGTTTCCTCTCTTCTCTCTTTGATCATTGAAAATTAATACTTCTCAAGTTTGATTCATGGGGAGAGCTTGCATTTCATAGTAAGTAGTAATCAAAACCTTTGGGTGTTATACACCTTAAGGCCCACATTCTATCTTGCATCTGACGCTGAATTCATCAATAATATGTTGTCAGATACAGGAAAACAAAGGTCCTACTGAGAAGTAGACCAGGAAACTTAGGAGGCTGGAAGCTCTTTCGTCAGAGAAACAAGTGAAGGAACTTAAAAGAAAAGGAACTGGGGGAACCAGGGTAGGAGTTAGGAAAGTCTTAATGGGTGGGTTTTCGAGCTTGCTGTTTTCTGTGTGTAGCATGTTCCTTCACCTACTTTCCACTTGTTGAAATTCTCCAAGGCCAGATTAGAAAACCATCTATTCTAAGAAGTTTCTAGGCCCTTTTAGTTAGGAACCATCTCCCTACTCTGAACCCCTATTTAGCACTTGCTGCTACCTCTATGATAATACCAGTGGCAGTCCAATTTATCTAGATAAGATTACTCAGGGCCTTGAATGCCCCACGAGGAGGTTTACGGGAGCCATGAGGCTTCTGAGCACTGACATGATTTAAAGTATCAGAGACAGACTAAGAAGGCAGTTCTGGCGTAGACTGAAGGAAAGGGGTGCATAAGTCTCTCTGCCATATTACTGTACGCCAGGCATTAGGCATGGTTACTCCATAAAACGTGGGAAGCCAGGCTCCTTTCCGACACGTGGTCACCAGGCAGCCTCCATGTCCTCATCGCCCTTCTCTACCCCCTGTAATCCGAGGGTAATTTCTCCACTGAAGTCCCGCTTTGAAGGCTCAGCAATGACCTACTGCGACTACGGATTTGTCCGCTCATTACTCATTCTGTTTTGCGTCCGCGATCTTCCCGAAACGTTTTCTTGTCTCACAACTCAAGAACCGACTGCGTTTTTCTCGTTGGCTGTTTACAATTTAGAACGCATTTTTACTGTTGAAACTTAAAAGCGGAGTTTAATTAGTCAAGTGGCTATGGGTGGAGCCTTGAAGAGATTAGGAAGGGTATTTTCGAGCGCTTTAGACTTGAAAGGCGGGCGACAATAGTTCTCAAGAGTCTGGTCTCAGCCTGCAGATTTTTCTTTGAACAGCTCGACTCTCAAGCGTGCACGCCTGGGCTGGGGGCTAACTTCCCTGTTGCTTATGGAATAAGAAACCAAGGAGCGCTGGGCTTGCCTTTTCTTCTTCTTTTTCTTCTTCTGACCTAAGGGCAGCAGCGAGGGGCCGGGCGGATTAGGTGAGGCTGCCCTGCCTAGACGCACCCGTCCCCAG